TCACCTGATTCTAAAAAAACAAAAAATAGGGGACCAATCAGGTCAAATCTGACAACCCAGATTTGACCCGATTGGTCCCCTATTTGTCATCATTCGACTAGTGATTCGCTTATAGGAATTTTAATAATGATAACTCATAGAAAAGTTTTACTTGCTATTTTACAAAATATAATCATCAAGTACATGTAAAGAAGGAATTTCAGTTGAAAAATGTCAAAAAATAAAGATTCATTCTCCTAATTTATATTTTGCAAAAATTAAAATATTCTAATTTATTATAGAAAGTAAGTGCAAATTTAAAAATATCAAAATAATTCTAATTATATCTATACAGAGGGTGATCATAGATACCTGAACGATTAATTAAACTATTTGAATTTACTTATAATATTAACTTTATTTAGAATAAGCAAAAAATTTATTTGTTCCAAATATTTCTTATATATTTTATTAAAAAAAAAATAAAAAACTAATACTTTGTTGAATCACCTTTGGTTGCTATACATGCTTGAATGTGACAGGGTATACTTTTAACCAAATTTTAAATATACTCAAGTGGAATTGAATGCCAAGCATATTTTACCTTACATTCTAAATCTTCCATATTTTAGGTTGATTAGTCAAGTTATGAAGTTTCTTATCAACTTCATTCCAATTTTCAATAGGATTTAAATCAGGACTTTATGCAGGCCAGGGTAACATAGAAATCTTAGAGGCGTTATGAATATCAGTGGTAAGGTTGCTTGTCTAAACTCATTTTGGATTTGGCAAAACGGTAAAACCTTTAGTTTCACTAAATTTTTACTAAGTGTTTGATATAGTTTCGCCATTTTTATAAGCTTTGATATAGTTTTACCTTTTTCCAAATTTCGCAGATTTTTTAATAAGGTTTTAATATAATTTAACCAAATTTTACTTTTACCATTTAGACGTCTGTCTAAACTCTTGATTTCGTCCAGCAACCTTAATCAGCGGTAATCTTAGCTCGATGAGGTGAGATATTATTCTCTTGAAAAATTCCTTATTTGCGAGAAACTAATTTGTAAATTGAAGGACTAGCATGCCTCTGTAATACTTTTGCATATCTTTGTCCTGTTACAGATTCGCGAAGAAGAATAAGAGGTCCCAATCTATAGTTAAATTCTTCTTCTGATGTACGCCACACACGTAAGCTATGACCTTATGAAAATTAGCTAAATGTTGATTTATCAGACCATACAACTTTCTTCAATTTTACAATTGTCTAATTTTCTCGTTCCAATGCCTAAACCAATCTTTTTTCTTTATTATTTTCAGAAATTAATGATTTAGAATAGGCAATACACGAAAGTAAGCCAACTTTTTTAAGAGTCTGACGAATTATAACAGTTGAAACTTTCTTTTTTTTTAGTCCATAATTCTTAAATTTTTTGAGTGGTAAGACAACAATGCTTCAAATTTTGTGTAATAATCTTTTTGAGTGAAGATTGTGCATTTGAATTAAAAAGTGACTTCAGGCCACAATGTTTTTTTGGTATTGCAGAACCAGTTTCTTTAAAACGTTTATCGTATCATGAATATAGAATGTAAATAATCACCAATCATATTTGTTTATTTTATGAGTAGAATCAATAAGTGTTAACCATCCAAACCTTTGAAGTTTTTCAATTTGACTTGGACAGGGACGATGATTTTCTGTGATTCACATAACGCCGCAGAATTTTCTTTAAATGCATCTAATTATATTATTTGTGTTAGTCACCGCATAATTTCACAGAATTTAATATTTTCATAATTTTTATAATTTAGATCACAGAATCACGTGAGATTCTTAAGTTCGAATTTTGATCATTGAACTACGATAATCTTTCGCATTTTACAATTTGTACATTTGTTTTACAAATTAAGTTAGTATCTTTTAACAAATATGACAACACGCAAAAAAAAAGTTTCTATAAACTCTCATATTAATGAACATCCTGGTGTTTTTAGAGAAAATGGTGGTATTTTATTTTGCAACTTTTGTGACTTCTCAGTTAAATAGAAGTCAAAATCTACCGTTGATGCACATTGTCTTTCAAAAGGACATAATAAAAAAAAACGCCTTTATGAAATTAATGAACAAAAAAAAAAACAAACTACTATTTCTACAATTAATAATGCATTTGAATCCAAAAAAGAGGTTATAGAAGATTTAATTGAAGCTTTTTCTTCTGCAAATATCCCTTTGGAAAAAGTTAATCAACTCCTTCCTTTTTTTAAAAAACACCTTAAAGAAGGTGGTGCAATCCCTCAAGCTCCTACTCTTCGCCAAATATATTTACCCAATGTTTTTGATAAACATTTTTCTTTACTTAAAGATTTCTT